GGAATTATAGGTGTATGCCACTACGCCCGGCAAAAAAAATAATTTTTGAGTCATGGTCTCACTCTGTTGTCCAGGTGGGAGTGCAGTGACACAGTCACAGCTTATTGCAGCCTCAACCTCCTGGGTTCCGGCCATCCTTCTGGGAATACAGGCATGCACTACCACACCAGGCTAATTTTTTTGATTTTTTTTTTTTTTTTTTGAGTTGGAGTCTCACTCTGTTGCCCAGACTGGAGTGCAGTGACTGCTCCTGGCCACTGCAGCCTCGACCTGCTGGGCTCCGGCGATCCTTCTGCCTCAGCCTTCCAAGTAGCTGGAACTACAGGCGCGCGCTTCCACACCCGGCTAATTTTTTGATTTATTGTAGAGATGAGGTCTCGCCAAGTTGGCCAGGCTGGTCTCGAACCCATGGGCTCAAGGCAATCCACTCACCTCAGCCTCCCAAAGCACAGCATTACAGGCTGAGCCACCCAGCCAGCTTGATTTGTTATGGAGATGAAGTTTCGCTATGTTGCCCAGGCTGGTCTGGAAATCCTGGGCTCAAGTGATCTTGCACCTTGGACTCCCAAAGTGCGGGGATTACAGTCATGTGCCACCACACTCTGCCAGAAATTATCTTGATAAAATAGAGAATCTTTGTTTCCTAGGCCAATTACTTAAAAGGTAAAGGAAATCCTTTCACTCTTTCTTATTAAGGGCAGTTCAAGCCATGTGCAGTGGCTCACCACTCTGACTCAAAAAAAAATGCAAATTACTGAAAAATAATTTTGAAACTTCATAAGTGAAAGGGTAAATAAAGTTGGTAAATTCAAAATGGAGTAGTCGCCTTAGCTGCACTGCAGCCATTTTGTAGCAGACATTTTAACTGAGTTTTTTTCCCTTTTCTTCCTTTTTCCATGTGCTTTGCTAGTTAGTTATTGTGCTCCATATACCTCACCCTCTAATTGTTAGCCAAGGACAAACCTGATTCACTGGAGATAGCGGTTGATCATTGTTTTGTAACTTTTTAAGTATACTTTGTACTAATTACTTATTTATTCTTTTTTTTTTTGAGTTGGAGTCTCACTCTGTCGCCCAGTCTGGAGTGCAGTGGCACACTCATGGCCACCGCAGCCTCAACCTGCTGGGCTCAGGTGATCCTTCCTCTTCAGTCTTCCAAGAAGCTGTAACTATAGGCATGTACCACCATGCCCAGTTTGTTTGTTTGTTTGTTTGTTTAACAGATGGCCAGAAAGTTGAGAAAGTCGGAGTTATTTTTTTTTTTTTTTGAGTTGGAGTCTCACTCAGTCACCCAGACTGGAGTGCAGTGGCCGCTTCCGGCCACCGCAGCCTCGCCTGCTGGGCTCCAGTGATCCTTCCGCCTCAGCCTTCCGAGTAGCCGGAATTACAGGCATGCGCTACCACACCCGGCTGAAGTCGGAGTTATTGAGAAGACAGAAAAGCTCCCAGAGAGGGAGGAGACCCAAGGGAATTGCCCATTGTTTGATTTATTGTACAGATGAGGTCTCGCCAATTTGCCCAGGCTGATCTTGAACTCGTGAGCTCAGGCAATCCTCTCTGGCCTCTCAAAGTGCTGCCAGTATAGGCGTGAGCCACTGCTCCCAGCACTATTTTATTCTAAGCATCTGTTTCCTGGCAATGCATGGCCTAGCTAACCTCATCTCCCATAACCGCCCACTGGCCCACCACCTGGAATCACAAGACTAATTGCCTTGACAAAGGCAAAGAAAGCCAGACCAGTGTTATTAACACCCAAGAATGCAGTTGCTGGAGATTTTTTTACTAGTCCTGCTTCCTTACAGAAACTTTAAAAGCCCTCTCCTTAAAATATATGCTACACTTGCCTGTGAGCATTGGTCTGTGGAAAGTGAGTAATAAATTTTGTTTCTTTCTTTTTGTAAATCGTTGCTTTATTCCCATGACACTGGCCTACCTTGCCTCAGTTTATCCTTACATTTGGTGGCTCATATGGGGACCCCAACATTTTGGGGGGGGTCCCCTCCGTGACTCTTTCCTCGCTCTTCTTTTCCCAACCTGTGGCTCCCTGTGGACCATGCTAGAACTTGGTGACAATTGACAGCTCTGGGCCCAGCAGCTCTCTGGTGAGTCTGAAGTTTCCAAGAAGGTTGCAATCTGCTGGGACCCATTAGGGGCAAGAAGCTAAGGTCTGCTCTCTATCTTTTCCCTCAGCCAAGGTCTCCGAGTTTCTCTGTGGACCGGACTAGAACTTGGAGGGCAACTGATGGCCTTTCACCAGGGTGACTCCCTGGGGAGGCAAAAAGACCCCCAGAGGGAGGTCTCGGGCCACCATCACCTGTTAGGGTAATGAGCGAGGTGCTTGGTTCTTTTTTTTCTTTTTTTTGAGTTGGAGTCTCACTTCATCCTCCAGGCTAGAGTGCAGTGGCATACTCACAACCACCCCAGCATCGACCTGCTAGGCTCAGGTGATCCTTCCGTCTCAGCCTTCCAAGTAGCTGGAGCTAAGGGTGCAGTAGTTTTTGATTTATTGTAGAGACAAGGTCTCGCCAAGTTGCCCGGGCTGGTCTTGAACCCGCGTGGTCAGGCAATCCACTCGCCTCGGCCTCCCAAAGTGCTGGGATTGCAGGCTGAGACACTGAGCCTGGCCAGCTCTTTTATCTATGCCACTTACTATTTACTTTCATTGTCTGTGATGAGCTACATCGAACAAATGCTGCCTGGTTGCTTCAGCCTTGTCTGGTACGAAATTACATCACCAGTGAGTTCAAACTCCATTTTACTCTTAGCTAAGGGGGTTTTTGAGCACGACTTGAGAGGCCTCTATCTTTGTTTGGTACGTTTTGGAGGTCCCGAGAAGGTTGCAATCTGGGGCTGGAGCTCCAGGCCCTCTGGGGGGAAAAAAAAAATCTATGGCCCTCCTAAGGCTCAGAGCTACTCCTAAAGCTCCTTTGAACTCATGTATGGGTGACCTCTTTTACTACAGCCTGGAATACATACAGAGCTCCCTCCTTAGGAAACTATCTCCCAGGCTTAGAACTAGCCAGGAAATCTTTTTTTTTTTTTGAGTTGGAGTCTCACTCTTGCCCAGGCTGGAGTGCACTGGCATGCTCACAGCCACCGCGGCCTCTACCTGCTGGGTTCAGGTGATCCCTCTGCCTCAGCCTTCCAAGTAGCTGGAACTACAGATGCACACCACCACACCCGGCTTGCTTTTTTTGTGTGTGATTTATTGTAGAAATGAGGTCTCATGAAGTTGCCCAGGCTGGACACGAACCCCCAGGCTCAGGCAATCCTCTCGCCTTGGTTTCCCAAAGTGCTGGGATTACAGGCTGAGCCACCACCCCCAGCTGCCAGGAAATTTAAGGGACTATGCTGGTCAACATATCCCTGCTTCCTGTGGGAGCACACCTCTGGTATCTCAGTTGCAACCTGGAGACGGGGTACTTCTTAAAGATTTACCTAGCCAAACTAAACCCCTCCAACCACCTTGGAAGGGGCCCTTTCAAGTGATATTATTATATTTTGAGTTGGAGTCTCACTCTGTCACCCAGAATGGAGTGCTGTGGCACACTCTTGGTCAGCGCAGCCTCGACCTGCTGGGCTCAGGCAATCCTTCCAACTCAGCCTTCCAAGAAGCTGGAACTACAGGCATGCACCAGTGCCACTGGCAAATTTTTTGATTTATTGTAGAGGTGAGGTCTCGCCAAATTGCCCAGGCTGATCTCAAACTCATGGGTTCAGGCAGTCCTCTCACCTTGGCTTTCCAAAGTGCTGGGATTATAGACATGGCATAAGCCACCACTCCCGGCCCTTTCAAGTAATCTCAGCCACCCCTACAGTAGCCAAACTTTTGGAATTTCCTTCCTGGATCCACTTATCCAGAGTCAAGATAGCACCTCCACTGCTCCCAGAAACTCCTACTCTAGGAAAATTTACACCAAGGCTATACACCTTGGAAACACGAGGCTATCTTAAATACCTCTTTAAAAAGGTCAATTTAGGTCAGGCGCGGTGGCTCACACCTATAATCCCAGAATCTTGGGAGGCCAAGGGGAGAGGATTGCCTGAGCCCATGGGTTCCAGACCAGCCTGGGGAACATGGTGAGACCTCATCTTGACAATAAATAAAAAAATTAGCCGGGCATGGTAGCAAGCACCTGTAGTTCCAGCTACTTGGAAGGCTGAGGCGGAAGGATTGCCTGAGCCCAGCAGTTGGAGGCTTCATTGGCCAGGAGCATGCCACTGCACTCCAGTCTGGGAAGACAGAGTGAGATTCCAACTAAAAAAAAAAAAGATTAGCAAACAGGCTATTTCCTATGGGATGCCCTTATTGTCAACCTCAAAAATCTATTAAAACCTGTAGAGACAGGCACAGTGGCTCAAGCCTGTAATCCCAGCATTTTGGCAGGCTGAGGCGAGAGGATTGCCTGAGCTCAAGTGTTCAAGACTAGCCTGGGCAACTTGGTGAGACCTCGTCTCTAGAATAAATAAAAAAACTAGCCAGGCATGGTGACGTGTGCCTGTGGTTCCAGTTACTTGCAAGGCTGAGATGGAAGGATCGCCTGAGTCCAGCAGGTTGAGGCTGTGGTAGCCATGAGCATGCAGCTGCTGCATTCCAGCCTGGACGACAGAGTAAGACTCCGACTCAATAAAATAAAAAAAACCAAAACATTTAGAATGTGGTTTAAAGCATCTACATATATTGATTGTGAGTTATAGATATGTTTAATCACCCATTTAATGTTTTGTAATGAAGTCACCTACTACAGACACATTGATTGGTGGACAACTCCAGATTGAGGCTCTTTAACCTGGTCTGCAGGAAAACTGTGAGATTGGCAAGACTTCATAGATGCCAGATCTGTGACAACGTCTTCTCTGTTACCTTTAATTTCTCTCTGTGTGCTAACTCTAGACTCCTTCTAGAACAGGGCGCTGTAGATAGAAATCAGTTTTGGGCAACCATATCAAAAAGCCTTGGAGTCATTCACTTAAAGATAGGATGACTATACCTATTCAACATGGACCTTGCCGGCGTGCTGATTTTCCTGTTCGTGGTAACTTTAAGTCAAACCTACCCACTAGTATGTGAAGCTCTAATAGTGTCTGGTTTTGTGCCACCTACTCCGATCTAAATACCCAAGATAATCTACAGTCAGCGGGTTCTCCTACTCCACTGGGTGACCTTCTCTCTACTTACAGAGCACCTGCTAGGGTTTCATCAAGACTCTGATAATTTTTGCCACGAACAACATCCCAATGTAGCAGCATTCCAACAAGTATGAGTATCGTTGTACTCTTCCCTGCTTCCAACAACTTGGGCACAACCAGGCCCCCCAAGAAATCCTTGATATTTTAAAGTTAATACTTATGGCCGGGCTCGGTGCCTCAGCCTGTAATCTCAGCACTTTGGGAGGCCGAGGCGAGTGGATTGCCTGTGCCTGTAGGTTTGAGATCAGCCCGGGCAACTTGGTGGGACCTCGTTGCTACAATAAGTCGAAAATTAGGCTGGGCTTGGTGGCTCAGCCTGTAATCCTGCGGCTTTGGGAGGCTGAGGTGAGTGGATTGCCTGAGCCCGCAGGTTTGAGACCCGCCTGGGCAACTTGGTGAGACCTCATCTCTACAATAAATCAAAATGAGCCAGGTGTGGTAGCGCGCGCCTGTAGTTCCAGCTACTTGGAAGGCTGAGGCGGAAGGATCGCTGGAGCCCAGTAGGTTGAGGCTGCAGTGGCTGGGAGCGGCCACTGTATTCCAGTCTGGGTGACAGAGTGAGACTCCAACTCAAAAACAAAAACAAAAAACAAAACAAAACACAACAAAAATTAACTGGGCATGGTAGTGTGTGCCTGTAATTCCGGCTACTTGGAAGGCTTAGGTGGAAGGATCGCTGGAGCCCAGCAGGTCGACACTGAGGTGGTCGTGAGTGTGCCACTGCACTCCAGCCTGGGTGATAGAGTGAGATTTCAACTCAAAAAAACCCCACACAACTTATGTTAAGCATGGTACAGTAATATTAATAACCTCAATGCATGCAAAGGCTGCAAATTTCTGCACCTCAACCAATACAGAACTTAGAAGTAATGGAACTAGCTTCTTGGGAGTATATTCGTTTCAAAAATTTAACTAAACTGTTCATTTCCTTAGTGGAACTGTCATCTTAGCTAATTACAGTGGCCAACTTATAGCAACCAACTGGCTTCCCTGAGGGAGAGCAGGGTTATTGGGAGGAATTTTACATCCAGGACTCAAGGTCAAATCCCACTGTGGGACTCGCAGAGACATGGAAACAGATTGTGGAGAGATTCAACTCTGGACTCAAGGCTTTAAGAGCTGTTGAAGGTATGGGATGGATTCCTATAGTAGGATCTCACATGGCTGGAGTTGTTATGCATGATTATATCTTATCTGATCTTCATACTTTAATATGCCAGGAACACTATGTTGCAGAATATACTTACCGAGTATTAGTTCTACTTAGTAAAGAAGAAGGAGAAATCAGACAGCATATAATGACTAATAGCATAGCACCGAATTTTCTTTTTCTTTTTTTTTTTTTTTTTTGAGTTGGAGTCCCACTCCGTCGCCCAGATTGGAGTGCAGTGGCTGCTCCTGGCCACCGCAGCCTCGACTTGCTGGGCTCCGGGGATCCTTCCGCCTCAGCCTTCCAAGTAGCTGGAACTACAGGCGCGCGCTACCATGCCCGGCTAATTTTTGATTTATTGTAGAGATGAGGTCTCGCCAAGTCATGTAGGTGGGTCTCGAACCCACGGGCTCAGGCAATTCACTCACCTCGGCCTCCCAAAGCGTGGGATTATAGGCTGAGCCACCGAGCCTGGCAGCACAGAATTTTCTATTGGCAAAGGTAGGAGAACTCTGTGGAGTGGTAGGTGGTATGTGTTGTACTACCATTGATGATTTACAATCCAATATGTCAAATTATGTTAATACATTAGAAGCTTTAGCTGAACAAACTTCTACTTTACGAGGTCATTTTCAACTTTCTGCTATTGTTTCAACTACCCTAGGAGTTTTTATTATCATTTGTTTAATCACATTCACTTGTGCTTTAGCACACTGCTTTATACCTAGAAAATAAAGAATGATCCATAATTTTTTTTTTTTTTGAGTTGGAGTCTCACTCTGTCACCCAGACTGGAGTGCAGTGGCTGCTCCCGGCCACACAGCCTCGACCTGCTGGGCTCTGGCGATCCTTCCGCGTCAGCCTTCCAAGTACAGGCGCACTACCACACCCGGCTAATTTTTGATTTATTGTAGCGATGAGGTCTTGCCAAGTGGCCCAGGTGGGTCTCGAACACGCAGGCTCAGGCAATCCACTCACCTCAGCCTCCCAAAGGCGCAGGATTACAGGCTGAGCCACCGAGCCCGGCTGTTCCATAGATTTTTGCCCTGAATTCCACTCCTCTTGTTTTCGGTGGGAAAGTAGGTAGGGACATTTCTATGCCCCACTCTTCCGGGGGCCGGAAGTAGTTACAGATGACTGACCTTTGCCCCTGTTCTTTAGCTACAAATAAGAATATTTAAAACAACAAGAGGAGGGAATGAAAGGGTAAAGTTAGTACTGTCAAAATGGAGTTGGCTTAGCTGAACTGCAGCCATTTTAAAGCAGACATCTTAACTGAGTTATTTTTTTCTTTTTTTCCACATGCTTTGCTAGTTAATTATTGTGCTCCATACATCTCACCCTCTAATCATTAGCCAAGGACAAACCCAGTAATTAGAAATAGTAAACTGGAGATAGCTATTGATAGTTGTTTTGTAACTTTTAATTATATTTTGTCCTAATTACTCTTTTATTCTAAGTATCTGTTTCCTGGCAATGCAAGACCAAGCTAACCTCACTTACTGTCATCAGCCTCCTGTAACTGCCCACTGGCCCACCACCTGGAATCACAAGACTAATTGCCTTGACAATGGCAAAGAAAGGAAGACCAGTGTTATTAACACCCAAGAATAGTTGCTGAAGATTTTTTAATAGCATCCTTATAGAAACTTTAAAAGCCTTTTCTCCTTAAAGCATATGCCACACTTGCCTATGAGCATTGGTCCCTCCGTATCTGTGGAAAGTGAGTAATAAACTTTGTTTCTTTCTTTTTGCAAATCTTTGCTTTATTCCACACTGGCCTACCTTGCCTCAGTTTATCCTTACAGTAAGGTTTATTTGTAAATGTTTATCCTGCTTACATTTACCTAATTTACTCATTCTTTTTCTTTTCTTTTTTTTTTTTTTAGTTGGAGTCTCATTCTATCACCCAGACTGGAGGGCAGTGGCACACTCCCAGCCACCGCAGCTTCGACCTGCTGGGCTCAGGTGATCCTTCTGCCTTAGCCTTCCAAGTAGCTGGAACTACAGGTACATGCCACCATGCTGGCTAATTTTTTGATTTATTGTAGAGATGAGGTCTTGCCAAGTTGCCCAGGCTGGTCTTGAACATGCAGATTCAGGCAATCCTCTCACCTTGGCCTCCCAAAGTGCTGGGATTATAGGCGTGAGCCATTGCACCTGGCCTAATTTACTCATTCTTAACACTTATGTTTAAGTTGCTTATGAAAAATGAAGCTAGCCATCATCTTAAGTTTTCTTGTTGACAAGTCAGACAAGTATCAAAAATACTACAAAACCAAAGAAACTAGAAAGCTAATTATGGGCCTTCTCCCCCCGGCCCCCACAACTGACATGCATCAAGACAGTTGAGAAAAGAAAAACAGTTCGGAGCAGTCTATGCTGTGTTGCCTCTTCAAAATGTATCAGGCCCAGGGAGACAATGATCATGGGACTTCATTCATGCCACCTCCACTCCTTGCATGCACCCATGCCCAGAGGCAAATGTTTAAAAGCATTTTGTTCCTGACTAGTTTCCTCACTATCTTCATGTTCCTGGAATTTGTCTTACAAAAAACCATGTCTAGCCAATCAATAGCTTATGTTATTTTAGTGTTAATTCTTGTAAACAACGTAGGAACTGCCTCTTTTTCTTTCTTAAAAACCCACTTGTATCTGCTACTAGTTGGAGTGTATACTCAAGATAACTAGAATCTCTGGCCCAAGGTGGCCATCCTCGAGGTTTGGGCTTGAATAAACACTATACTTCATCATGATTTCTGAATGTCATTATTTAACGTTGACACATTCATCAATGTATGTTTACTATGCATTCTACTTGGAGGAAAAAAAAACTTTTATTTGAGGAATTCAACTCCTTTCAAATTATCATGCCCAAGCAGGGTGTGGTGGCACAAGCCTATAATCCCAGCACTTTGGGAGACTAAGACAAGAGGATTTGCCTGAGTCCAGGAGTTTGAGACCAGCCCCGCCAACATGGCAAGACCTCGTCTCTACAATAAATAAAAAAAATTAGCCGGATGTGGCAGCGCACACCTGTAGTTCCAGCTACTTGGAAGGCTAAGGCAGAAGGATTGCCTGAGCTCAGCAGGTTGACACTGCGGTGGCTGTGAGCATGCCACTGCATTCCAGCCTGGGTGACAGAGTAAGACTCGTAGCTCAAAAAAAAAAAAATTATCTTGCCCAGAGAGTCATTAAAATGATACAGCAATCATGTCCTACTTCTCACCTTGAGCTATATATTAATAGTTACCTCTCGAAACTGCTTGCTATTGCCACAAGTAGCTATCAAGTAACCTTATAATGCCTTATCAGACACTATAACCCACTCTCTATAGCCTAACAACATATAGCCAGTCACTCAACAGTGTTTTCTTCTCTTACCCAAATTCTTTTTTTTACTTATTATAGAGACAAGATCTTGCCACGTTGCCCAGACTGGTTTCAAACTTCTGAGCTCAGGTGATTTTCTCACCTCCACCTCCCAAAGTGCTGGGATTAAAGGTGTGAGCCGCTGTGCCTGGCTGAGCAGAGGTCCCTTAATGAGTGGGAGTATGTAGTTGAGGGGCTTGAAAATTGTACCAGAAGTCAGACAAAGCCAGATGTTTTACTCAAAGGTGGGACATGCAGATGATAGAGAGTGACCTGACCTGTATCATTCCAAATTTTTCTTGTTTTTTTTTTTTTTTGAGTAGGAGTCTCACTCTGTCACCCAGACTGGAGGGCAGTGGCACACTCATGGTCACTGCAGCCTCGACCTGCTGGGCTCTGGTGATCCTTCAGCCTCAGTCTTCCAAATAGCTGGAACTACAGGCATGTGCCACCACGCCTGGTTAATATTTTGATTTCTTGTAGAGATGAGGTCTTGCCAAGTTGCCCAGGCTGGTCTGGAACTCATGAGCTCAGGCAATTCTCTCACCTCGGCCTCCCAAAGTGCTGGGATCATAGGCGTGAGCCACTGCACCTGGCCTCATCCCAAATTCTTAACTAAAGGTCTTGTGGAGTCATTGCCTGATAAGAACTCACCAGAGTTTTTTACCCTATTACCCTAGATCCTAAAGTTTACTTTCCAACCTGCCTCTAGCATAGTATAACATGACAAATGTATGCAGGTTTATGGCCCTGCAAAACCATCTCTTATGAGACTTATCTCAGACTCCAGGAAGCCTTCTAAGACACTTATCTATTCTCCCTGAAATCTACCACTTATAGGGTTTCATCTACATATCAACACACCTGGAGTTTCCCCACACGCTTATGTTAACAAAGTATCTCCTCTACTAATTTCCCAAATTCCCCAGATAGAACTGCAAATAACCAGTAAAGAAATCTTTGAATTCACCAATGACCTACAAGGAAATGTCTCTCCTTCCTGGGCCAAACCAAAGAAAATATCACATATATTGATTAATGGCTTCTTGTAACTTCTGCCTTCCTAAAGTGTATATAACCAAGCCTTCATTTAGCCACAGTGGGCACATGTTTTCAGGATTTCCTGACAATGGGTGTACCTGCGCTTAAGTCCTCAAGTTTGGCTCAATAAACCATCTTAAATATTTTACAGAGTTTGGCATCTTTTCATAATACAATGAAAATTCCTGGCACACAATTTTGTACCCTGTCCCCCTTTTTCTGCCTTTAAAAACCTGCTTGTAGCTGAGTGTGGCTGCTCACACCTGTAATCCTAGCAACTTGGGAAGGTGGAGGTGAGAGAGTTGCCTAAGTCCGGATGTTTGAGATCAGCTTAGGCAACATAGCGAGACCTTTATAGATTGAGATATTGCCTGATTCTAGAATTGCAAATAAAAACCAACAAGATTTTTTTTTTTTAAGTCAGAGTCTCACTCTGTCACCCAGGCTAGAGTGCACTGGTACCCTCACGGCCACCGCAGCCTTGACCTGCTAGGCTCAGGGGATCCTCCTGCCTCAAACTTCCAAGTAGCTGGAACTACAGGTGCACGCCACCACGCCTGATAACTTTTTGATTTTTTTGTAGACATAAGGTCTCTCCATGCTGCCCAGGCTGGTATCGAACCCCTGGACTCAGGCCATCCTCTCGCCTCCGCCTCCC